TTATAGTTGAAGGACAGATAAAGAGTTTCCTAGACAAAAATAAGCTAAAGAAATTTATCACCACCAAGCCAGTACTATAGGAAATGTTGGAGGGACTTCTTTAAGAAGAAAAAATGTATCAAAAACAGGAATAAAGAATGGTAACAACTACATTCCTACCAATAAGTACCTTAAATGGAAAAGATTTAAGTGCTCCAACCAAAAAATGGGGTGGCTGAAAGGATAAGGAAACAAGATCCCTACATATGCTGCTTATAAGAGACTGACTTCAGTTTAAAAGACACATAGAGACTCAAAGGAAGGGGATGAAAAAAGATATTGCTTTGACGGACCTAGAAGGTATTTAAGTCAGACAGAGAAAGATAAACACTATATGATTTCACTTATACATGGAATCTAAGGAATAAAAAGAACAAGCTAACCAAAAACTGACTTGCAAATATAGTGGACAATTTGGTGACGGACAGAGGGGAGGGAGATTTGGGGGAATGGGAGAATGGGGTGAAGGGTTAAAGAAGTACAAATTAGTAGCTGATAGATGGTCACATGGTTAGTGAGCACAGCATAGGTAATGCAGTTAGCATTAATACATTGGCTAGGTGGAGGGTGAGGGGAGGGAGGATGCAATTGCAGGGATCGTTTTACGAACTATATAGATGTCTAACCAAAATACTATATACTTGAAACTAATTAAAATAAATAATTTTTTTTTAAAAAAGAAAAAGCCAAACCAGTATTACAAGAATGTTAAAGAGACCTCTTTAAGGAAAAAAAAAAAAGATCAAATATATGAGGAATAAAAGGCAATAACTACATGTGTAGCAACAATTACTTTAATGTAAATGGTTTAAATGCTCCAATCGAAAATCATAGGGTGGCTGAATGGTTAAGAAAACAGGGTCCTTACATATGTTGCCTACAGGAGATTTCTGATTGAAAGACACACACATACTAAAAGTAAATGGATGAAAAAAGATGTTTCATGAAAATGGAAGTGAAAAAAAAAAAAAGCTGGAGTAGCAATACTTATACCACACAAAATAGACTTTAAAGCAAAGGCTATAAAAAAAGACAAGGAAGGAATCAGTAATTCCACTTCTGGGTATTTATCAGAAGAAACCAAAAACATGAATTCAAAGACATATGCATCCATATGTTCATTGCTGCATTATTTACACTCAAGAAAGAACCTAAGTGTCCATCAATAGATGAATGGATAAAGAAGTGGTAAATATATAAAATGGAATTTACTTAACCATAAAAGAAGGAAATATTGCCATCTGCAACAACATAGATGGATCTAGAGGGTATTATGCTAAGTGAAATAAATCCGACATGGAAAAATAAATACCATATAATTTCACTTATATGTGGAATCTACAAAACAAAATAAACAAAACAGAAACAAACTCATAGATAGAACTTTTTGATGGTTGCCAGATGGGAGGGGGGTTGGGGCATAGTGAAAAAGGGGAAATGAATAATAAGTACAAATTGGTAGTTACAAAATGGGCCTGGGGATATAAAGTATAGCATAGGGAATAGAGACAGTAATATTGTAATAACTAAATATGGTGTCATACGAGTTCTAGATTTATCAGTACTATAACATTTATAAGTTATATAAATGTCTAATCACTATGTTTTACACTTGAAACATAATATCGTATATCAACTGTAATTGAAAAATAAAAAATTATCTAAAAAAAGAGAATGAGGAGACAAGTCACAGAGTGAGAAAAATATTTCAAAACGACACATCTGATAAAGGACTGTTATCCAAAATATACAAAGAACTCTTAAAACTCAAAAATAAGAAAACAAAACAACCTGATTTAAAAATGGGCAAAAAACCTGAATAGACACCTCACCAGAGAAGATATACAGAAGGCAAATAAGCATATGAAAAGATGCCTGACATCATATGTCATCAGCGAAATGCAAATTAAAATAATGGGATATACTACCTATATTTTAGAATGGCCAAAATCCAGAACACTGACAACAGCAAATGCTGACAAGAATGTGGAGCAATAGGAACTCTCATTGATGATGGGACTACAAAATGGTACAGCTACTTTGAAAGATAGTTTAGTGGTTTCTTACAAAACTAAACATATACCAGATGATCCAGCAATCATATTCTTTAGTATATACCCAAAGGAGTTGAAAATTTATGTCCACACAAAAACCCACAGACAGATGTCTATAGCAGCTTTATTCACAATCATCAAAACTTGGAAGCAACTAAGATGTCCTTCAATAGGTGAATGGCTAAGCAAACTGTGGTATCCAGACAATAACATATTTTTCAGTGCTAAAAAGTTATCAAGCCATAATAAGGCATGGAAGAAACTTAAATACACATTAAGTGAAAAAAGCTCATCTGATAAGGCTATATATTGTATCATTCTCACTATATGACATTCTGGAAAAGGAAAAATTATGGAGACAGTGGAAAAAATCAGTGGTTCTCAGGGATTGAAAGGGTGGAATGAATAAGTGGAGCACAGAGGGTTTTTAAGGCAGTGAAAACTATCCTGCATGAAGAGGAATTTTCACTCAAAAGGTTAACCTTATAATCAGCTCTTTGTTCTCCTTCTGCAGATATGCTTGCTGCATAGGCCATAGGGCAGGGTGACCTCGAAATTAACTAAAGACTCATCCTCCCTTTTGCTTGTTTTGTCTAAAAAACAAATGTAACTGCCTGTATCCATAGCAACTCCCACGCTCTGTAACCATCTGAGGACAAATTAACCAATCGGCCCATCCAAAATAAGCCCTATATAAGCAAAGTCGCAACTGAGCTGGGGGCGCAAATCTTCAGAGCGCTAGCTCCTCTGGGACTACTGGCATAATAATCTGAGATCTCCAACTCTCAGAGTGGTGCTTGGTTTCTCGCCAGTCTGATTTTTGCAACATTTCTGCAACACTACAATGGTGAATACATGTCACTACACATTTGTCAAAACCCACAGAAATTACAACACCCAAAGTGAATCCCAAGGTAAACTATGGACTTTGGGTGATTATGATGTGTCAATGCAGGTTTGTCATTTATAACAAATGTACCGCTATGTTAGATATTGATAGTGGTGGAGGCCAGTAAGGGAGTTGCGGGAGAGGAAAGAATTTTCCTTTATCCTGAAGGTTCTTTTGGCTTATCTAACAATCGAATAGAGGTGAGACCAACTAATAAGAAACAATAACCAAATTTTATTACATACGTATGTACTGGAACCCTTCATACATACATGAGGGTTAGAGACTCCCACATACATTTCAAAAACAGAAAGGAAAAATAAGGTATATATGACATTCTGGACTAAGGATGATTTAAGGTACTCTGGGGCTTCAGAAGGTAAATGCAATGAGAACACATGTCCAGTAATCAGTAGTTTGCCATGCCATGTAGATGAGTTCTCTCTGATCTCTTAGTAAGGCCAAGCCTCCTAACTCAAATTCCTCTAATAGTTAATGGCGGGGAGGGGCAGAAGTTTCTCCTGAGCCCACAATGTCTCTTTTGACTTTAGCTCAAAATAATCCACATATTATTAAAGCACATTTTGGAGTGAACTCTCACAGAGGGTAGATATATATATCTGAACTAATATTTTTTTGCTCAATTTTGCTTGAACCTAAAATGCTCTAAAAAATGGTCTATTTTAAAAATCCCCTGTGCTTCACCTATTTAACCCCCCGCCCAGATAATCTCTGGTACCTTTCTGTCTACTGTCTTCCCAACGTAATTTAAAAAATATTTAAATTAAGAAGATTTTTAAGTTCTGGAGCTTTTATAAATTGATCGGACTTTTATACATAGTACTTTCTTAAAAATAATTAGTTACTAGTTATCACACCTGCAACTCACAGATTTGGGGTCTGCCAATTAAAGCACCAATAAAATCTTATAATTTTTTCAGTGCAAAAAAAAGGAAAGTAAATTCTAGAAAGACTAGGTTATTGCTACACCTCCTTTTGCTGGTTTCTGTGTAACCCATCAGGGGACAGCTAGGACTATTTGCTTTGAAAACTTTCTAATTTGCTAATCTTACCATGGTCAAAATCCAAATACAAACCCCTTCCGCAGGCTCATTTCTTTCTTCTTTTTCTCTCTTTTTTACTTTCACTCCCCACACCCAATCTTCCACTGTTTCCTATCTATCATTAAGCTCTCTGGAATATCTGATAAACTAAATCCCGTAAACTGTTAATGTCTTTGCAGATTATTCCTCCACTTACTAGGTTTGATTCAATCCTTGATTTGAGGACTCTTTTTTACTGGCCTTCTTCCCAGTGTTTTTTTTTTTTTTTTTCTCATTTGACTTATTTCTTCATTGAGAACTCTGGCTCCAGGCGAGTCATTTTTTCCAATTCACTTTGGATCCTGCCATTCCCCTAGGTGCTTTAAGTTGGTACATGTAGAACATTCTAATTCCTAGTATCTCATTGCATATGTCCTGATTCCTGTTCGTTCTACCGCCAAGCCTGTTCTACCTGTGAAATCTTTAAAACAATTTGACGCCTTCTGATCATTTCCACCTCCTTTCCCTTAATACCTGCTCTTGGACCCGCATGACCCCTCACTTTTCTTCCTCCAGACTCCATCCTCCTGTCTGCATTTATAGGCTACTGAGCCTGGACTATTTACTCTCATCTTCAGGCATCTCTCCATTTTCCCTTGCTCTTTAGTTGTCCCAGCGAAGATTCCTGACCAAATCCAAGTCCGCCTTCTCTACTCGCTCCGAGCATTCGCCCCGTCTCGGGGTAAATCGATCGAAACGCTGACCAGAATTGACTCAAGTTCGAGGACTGTGTATGACAGTTTTAACTTTAGCGTTTCTCTCAATTTCCATACTTCAACGATTAATTCTTACTTTTATCAAAGCACCGCAAACCCAACCGACCGGAGGACCACGGCCATGCACCACAGAACTCCTGGGGGAGGAGCAGTCGCTGTCGCGGCGGCCTCGCGGGGCATGATGGGAAGAAGGGCGGGGCGCGGGCGCGCGCAGGCGAAGCGCTCCGTGCACGTCCTGGTGGCCCGTGTCCTGGTGGCTAGTGTCCCACTTTTGAGGGGGGAGGGGCATTCGGAGGAAGCACGGGCCCGGCGGAGGTCATGTTTGTGGCACGCAGCATAGCGGCGGACCATAAGGATCTTATTCATGATGTTTCTTTCGACTTTCACGGGCGGCGGATGGCGACTTGTTCCAGCGACCAGAGTGTCAAGGTACGCGCGGAGCCTTCGGGCGGGGCGGAGTCCGAAGCAGGGGAGTGGGAGCGTACGCGGAGCGGAGAGACCGGCGCTCTGAAAGGGTACCACTTTTGATATCGAGGCGCGCCTCCAGGTACGAAGCCTGGACCCAAAGGAAGCAGGCGAGCACCGGTAGGGGGCCTGCTCCGCCATGCTCGCCCCCTCACCCTGGGGTCACAGGCGCCGCCGGCGCGCGGCCAGCTCCTCCTTGCTCCAGCGCAGCAGCTCCTCGTCCGGCACCTGGCTCAGCTCCTCCGACGCCGCCGCCGCCGCCGCCGCCGGGGAAGCTGGGAGTAGGGGGTTTCCCGAGTTCGCGCTATCGCGTCCCGGTGGGCGGGAGCCGGGGAGCTCTCTCAGCTCTGTGTCCAGTGCGCGTGTGCCCGTCCGCGGAGTTCTGGCAGCAGCTGTCCTGCGTTAACCGTGCTTGCTCAGTGAGAGGACTGACCCCTGGTTCCTGTAAGGCAGTCAGTTCGCGTTGTGTTCTGAGTTCTGGGTACCTCACCTGGGGAGATAATTCTCTCCTTGTGTAGCGATAGGAGGCTCGTTTTGTTTCGCGATGAAAGAAAAGTACCAATCCGTTTACATCCAGTGAAGTTCATCTATAGAGGGATTGGAGTGTGTTTAATAAAGTTCCTGTAAACGTCCGTGACAAGCAGAATTTCTTCTATACGAGGGTATTTGGGATTTAGGAACCTCAAAGATGCAGGGTAAACAGTAACAGACTTGAAGGCTGGTGTGTGGAGTATTTGCATTCTCCACAACTTCGAAATAGCTGAAAATCCGAAGGACAGTGTTTACTCATTGTTTTTCACAAGTATGATATCAGCGATCCCTCATAGATAATCATAACTAGTTTTTCTTTTTAAAAACGATTTGTGCCGCCAAATTCATCAAATAGTGCTTTTACCTGTAAAAGGTTTGGAATCACATAAAAACTTTTTTTTTTTTTTATTGTGGTAAACTAACCATTTTAAAGTGTATGTTACAGTTCAATAGCAGTAAGCACAGTATTCACATTGCTGTGCAACCATCACCACTATACTCCCCAGAAAGTTATCTTCATCCTAAACAGAAACTCTGTACCTAGTAGCTCCCTCTTCCCTTTTTCCCCCAGCTGCTGGTCAGCTCTAACTTTTTCTCTATAAATTTGACTATTCTGGGTACCTCATATAAATGGAATCATATTTGACATTTTGTGTCTGGTTCATTTAACTTACCATGATGTTTTCAAGTTTGTAGCATGTATCAATTTCGTTTTTAAGGTTGAATAATATTTTGTATGTATACGCTGCATTTTGTTTATCCATTCATCCACTTTTTGGCTATTGTGAATATTGCATTAATTAATGTGTTAGCTGAAGAGGTACTTTTTTTTTTAATCGTTCACTTATTACTGAATCTTTTAATTTGTAGATTTTGTCAGAGTAGTGTTGCAATGAAGATCTTCGTTTAGCTTTTTATATATTTTGTATCATTTCCTTAGACTCATTCCAGTAAGAAATTAGTGAATATTTTAAAAGCTGTTGAGAGTAATTGGCAAATTGCCTTTTTGAAGGTGTCTGTTTTACACTGCCAGTGAGAGTATTGATTTGAAAGCATCATTTTCCATGTTGGGCATTATCATTACAATTTTTCTTTAAAAGTTTTATGTGATAAAATACACATAATAAAATTTATCATCTTAACCATTTTTAAGTGTACAGTTAAGTGGTATTAGGTACATTCACATCTTTCTGCAACCATCACCACCATTTCCAGGACTTTTTCATTTTGCAGAACTGAAACTCAGTATCCATTAAACTCTCCATCCCCTGGCAACCACTATTTTGCTTTCTGTGTTTATGAATTTGGTTACTCTAGGTACCTCATTTAAGTGGAATCATACATTTTGTCATTTTTGTGACAGGCTTGTTTAACTTAGTTTAATGTTTTCTTTTACTTTTGTACACGTGGCATATGTCAGTTTTCTTTTTAAGCCTGAATGTTCCATTTTATGTATTGTGTATACCACATTTTGCTTATCATTCCACTGTCCATGGACTTGGGTTGCTTCTGCATTCTAGCTATTGTAAATAATGCTGCTATGAATGTGAGTGTACAAATATCTCTTTGAAACCCTGCCTTTTATTTATTTTTAAATTAAATTTATTGGGATTAGGATTAGTTGATCACATTATAAGTTTAAGGAGTACAGTTTTATAATACATCATTTGTATAATGCATTGTGTGCTCACCACTCAAAGTCAAGATATTTCTGTCACTGTACCCTTCTTTTACCCTCTTTATTCTTTCTCACCTGCTTACTCTCTAGTAACCACTATACTGCTGTCTGTGTCTATGAGTTTGTTTTGTTTGTTCATTTTTTGCTTTCTATTTTATATCCCACATATGAATGAAATCATATGTTCTTGTTCTTTTTTGTCTGACTTATTTCACTTAATATGATGTTCTCATGATCCATCCATGTTGTCGCCAGCGATACTTTTTCATCATTTTTTAAGGTTGACTAGTATTCCAATATATGTATGGACCACATCTTTATACAGTCATCCATCGAAGGACACTTAGGTTTCCATGTCTTGGCTGTTGTAATGAATGGTGCAGTGAACATAAGGGTACACATAGTTTTAAAAACAAGTAATTTCAAATTTTTGGGGTAGATACCAGAAGAGGGGTTGCTGGGTCATATGGTAGCTCCATTCCTAATTTTTTTCTGTTTTCTATGGAGGCTGTACCAGCTTACATTCCCATCAGCAGTGTACGAGGGTTCCCTTTCTCCACGTCTTCTGGAACTCTTGTTGTTTCTTGCGTTATTGATAGTTGCTGTTCTGACAGCTGTGGGGTGGTATCTTACTGTGGCTTTGATTGCATTTCCCTTTTAGCTAATGAAGTTGAGAATCTTTTCATATACTTGTTGGCCATTGTGAGTTTTCTTGGGAAAAGTGTTCAGGCCCTCTGGCCATTTTTTAATTGGTTTGTTTGCTTTTTTGTTGTTGAGTTATATGAGGTCTTTATATATTTTGGGTATTAGTTCCTTATTGGAGGTGTTGTTGGCAAATGTCTTCTCTCGTTGGTTGGTTGCCTTTTTGTTTCGATGGTTACTTTTGCTGTGCAGAATCTTTCTAGTTTGATGTAGTCTCGTTTGTTTTTACTTCCTTTGCCTTTGGGGTCAAGTTCAGAAAAAAAACATCTGAGATCAAGGTTCATAAGTTTAGTACCTATGTTTTCTTCTATGTATTTTAATTCAGCTCTTATATTCAAGTCTTTAATTTATTTTGAGTTGATTTTTGTGTATGGGGTCATTAGCAGTCTAGTTACATTCTCTTGCATGCGGCTTTCCAATTTCCCCAATACCATTTATTGAAGAGGCTTCCCTTTCTCCATTGTATATTTTTGGCTCCTTTGTTGAAAATTAGTTGCCTGTTCATGTGTGGGTTTACTTCTGGGCTCTCAAGTCTGCTCTTTTGGTTTGTGTGTCTAGTTTTCTGCCAATACCATACTGTTTTGATTATTGTAGCTTTGTAGTATAATTTGAAGTCAGACAGTGTGATACCTCTGTATGACGATTATGTCTGTTCAGTTTAATGTGTCATTTAAGGCCAATAATTTCTTTATTGACTTTCTGTTTGCTGTCAGTGGGGTATTTGAGTTCCCTACTGCAATTGTATTTTTGTCAATTTCTTCCTTTAGGTCTGTTAGTAATTGTTTTATATATTTTAGTGCTCCCAGGTTTGGTGCATATATATTGATAAGTGTTACGTATTCTCGATAAAATATTCCCTTTATCATTATACAGTGTCCATCTTTGTCTCTTGTTACTTTTTTATCTTGAAGTGTATTTTGTCAGAAACAAGCATGGCTACACCTGCTTTTCTCTGGATGCCATTTGCTTCGAATATCATCTTCCACCCCATCACTTTGAATCTGTTTGACTTTGTAGCTGAGATAGGTCTCCTTGAGGCAGCATATAGTTGGGTCTTGTTTTTTTTTTTTTTTTAACCCATCCCGCTACTTTATGCCTTTTAATTGATCAGTTCAGTCCATTTACGTTTAGGTTTATTATTGACATATAGGGACATAATACAGCCGTTTTATCTTTTGTTTTTGTTTTTGTTTTTTGATTGTTCTATCTCCATTGTTTCCTTTCCCTTGTATTTCTTTCTACTATTTTAGTTTGGTGGTGTTCTATGATTTTTTTTTTTCCTGTGCTATCCTTTTTTTGTGTCATTTGTCTCAGATTTTTGTTTGTAGAGTTTTTGTAATTACCTTTAGGTTTATGCAAAAAATATTTTCATATGTATAATAGTCCTTTTTTTTTCTGATTGCATCTTCTCTACATTCACCTGTGCAAATTCAGTCCTTTTTCGCTGTCCCCTTTTATGTTTTTGTTATTACATGTTACCCCTTTATAATCTGTGTGTTCATTTCCAAATTGCAGAAGCTGTAGTCTTTTTTAAAAAATGCTTTTATTCCTTTTGACCTTTATATTATAATTGTTTAATACCTTATTCCAAACTAGAGTTGCAGTTTTCCACTTCTGTCTATCATCTTACTCACAGTTTTGTTTCCTTCTGTCTTTTTGTTCTAGGTAGAAGAGCTCTTTTCAACATTTCTTGTAATGCGGGTGTTGTGGTGATAAATTCCCTCAGCTTTAGTTTGTCTGGAAAAGCCTTTATTTCTTTTTCATATCTAAAGGGGAACTTTGCTGGATATATTATTCTTGGCTGGTGATTTCTTTTTTTCAATATTTTGAAAGTTTATTTCCACCCTCTCCTAGGTTATAAGATTTCTGCTAAAAAAAATCCGATGATAGCCTAATGGAGTTTCCTTTATAGGTTATAGTCTTTTCCTCCTTGGCTGCCTTGAGAATTTTTTCTTTGTCATTAACTTTCAAGAGTTTTAATATAATGTGTCTTGGGGAAGGTCTTTTTGCATTGAGATAACTATGTGCTCTGTTAGCTTCTTGGATTCAAGGGTCCAGCTCTTTACATAGGTTTAGAAAGTTCTCATCAATTATTCGTTTGAATGGGCTCTCTGTTCACTTCTCCATCTTTTTTCCTTTGGGTATACTCATTCTTAATATTGCTCTTTATTGATGGAGTCAAAGAATTCTTATATCAATTCTATCTCTTCCACCTGAGTCATTTCTATTTTTATCTTAAAGATTAGTAACTCTTCCATGTAGTCTGCTCTATTTTCTGAGCTCTCTAATTCATTTTTCATGTCATATATTGAGTTTTTCATCTCTAGATTTGGTTGGTTCTTTTTTATAGTTTCAGTCTCTTTGGTAAAGTACTCCTTCTGTTTATTGACTTTAGTCCTGAGCTCATTGAACTGCTTTTGAATTTTCTTGTAGTTGGTTGAGTTTTTAAAAAACTACAATCTTGAATTTGCTGTTATTTAAATCCCAGTCTTCCATGCCTTTAAGTTTGTTTTCTGGAGACTATTCATTTTCTTTCTGAGCTACCCTGTTACCTTGGTTATTTGTGGTATTTGATAGATTATTTCTCTGGGCATTTGAGAAATTGAAAACAACTTTTTTAGGTACTGTTTTGCTTTAACAATTTAGCAGATCGATAAGTAGAGATCTTTTATTTTCCAGTAGATAGTGTTATAGCTTAAGGTTTTGTTTTACCTGCACTGCAGGGACTTGTGGGATCATGGTGGTGTAGTGTTGCCTCAGCTGTGGAAAATGCCCAGTATTCCCCAAGGAGGTGGCCATCCCTTCAGTGACTAGGTCACCTTGGTCTCAGGTCACTACCCCTGTGATGGGATATGGTTGGCAGTGGGGCTCCAGGCTTATGATTTTCCAGCACTGCTTCCTTACAGCCATAGGCTGCTAGCTGCACTATACTATCTGAGGTATCCCAGCTGCCAATACTGGATTCTCCTGCAGTGGGTGGGGAAGGAGTAGGGAAGGTGGATTTGCAAGGCTGTGGCTTTGTTTTTTCCCACTGGGTTTAGGGTTTAGCTGCATTGTGTATTGGCCACTCAGTGTGGAATGCTGCCTCTGCCCTGCTGGCCCTATCCAGGCTGCCAAGTGAAGACTGAGATCCGGCCCTCCACTGCTACTGTATCAGCTGCATTCACTGCAAGCACCTACTAGATTGTGTCCACAGCTCCAGTCTCTCTGCAGATCCTTCTCTCCATCCTTCCTTCCCTGCTTGCTCCCCTATGCCCACTTTCAGATATCTCAATGTGTGAATCTCAGACGTTTGTGTGTTGAACAGGAGATGCTTTGTTAAATTGTAGTTGTCCGACTTGTAACTTTAAGGGGACAGACCAAGAAGTCTTCTCATTCTGCCATGATGCTGATGTCACTGTGAAATCCTGCTTTTTAACTCTTATAGGTATATACCCAGAAGTAGATGTTAATGAATCAATAATATATACCAAATAAGGTCTCTTTAAACACATATAAACACAAAAAGGTTATGTATTGGTTAGTTGACAAATATGTTGTGACCAGAGACTCCTGTGAATCTCACCTTATATTTCCCCTAAGAGCAGTGATTCAGTATTTGTTAATTCAGTGTTCACAGCAACATAGAGAACATAACTATGGCAAATAACAAGACTTGACTATAATTGTAATTGACTTTGTTACATATTAGAGTGTAGACTCCTTGACCCCTCAGTGCTTAACCCAGTGCCTGGCACATCCAAGGTTTTCAATAAGTATTTCATTGAATGAAAACGAATGTTTATTTATTGGTTGTATTCTTCTGTGAATTCATGTTCTTCTTCTTTGCCCTAATATTGATTCAGTCTTAATTCTGTCTTCAGTTTTTCATATTAATTTTTAGGAATTCTTTGCATAAAATATCTGTTTTAATTTTTTTATAGGTTTGGGATAAAAGTGAAAGTGGAGATTGGCATTGTACTGCTAGCTGGAAGGTTAGTTTTTTTACAGTGAATTTTTAAAAAATTGAAATGTTTATTGTTTATTTGGTAGTATCAGTGACTTGTTATTCAACTTTGAGAGAATTATATAATTTATACTTTTTTTCCTAAAAAGATATTTAACATTTTTCACTGCTAAAGTGACAGAAATACAATTTAGAAAATTTGAGAGTAAGAAAATTTGTAATTCTATAGCATTCTAACATAATTCTTTTTAGCATTTTACTATTTATTTCTTATTTATATACTTTTAATAGCTGTGATGTTTCATATGTAGTTTTATTTCTTTATTTTTTTAAAAAATAACTTTACTCAAATAGAATTTTACATACCTTAAGAGTCATAAGTTTTAAATGTACAGTTCAGTGAGTTTTAGTAAATTTATGCAGTTATGCAATCATAACCACAATCTATTTTTAGAATACTTCCATCAACCCTGAAATTTCCATTATGCCCATTTGTGGTCAATCCTCATTCCCCTCCCAAGCCCCAGGCAACCACTGAACTGTTTTCTGTCTCTATATTTTTACCTTTGTGCCTGGCTACTTTCTTTTAGTATATTTTTGAGGTTCATTCATGTCGTGACATGTGTCAATAGTTCAAATCTTTGTAATGCTGAAGAGTATTACATTGTGTAGAAAAAGCCACGTTTTGTTTGTTTATTAACCAGTTCATGGACATGTGAACTGTTTCCAGTTTTTGAAAATTATGAATGATGCTGTTTTGAACATGTCATATAAGTCTTTGTGTAGATGGATTTACATTTTATTTCTCTTAGGTGGATATTGAGGAGTGGCATTGCTAAGTTGTATATGTTTTAACTTTCTAAGAAACTGCCAAATTGTTTTCCAAAGTGCCTGTACCATTTTATATTCCCACCAAGAAATATATGAGAGTTCCAGTTTCTCTGTATCCTCCTGTACACTTGATATTTTCTCTCTTTTTTGATTATAGCCATATTAGTGCATGTGAAGTGGTATTGCATTTGGTTTTGATTTGTATGCCCTAAATGACTAACAGTGTTGATTATGTGTTCATGTGCTTATTCTCCATTCATATATCTTCTCTAGTGAAGTGTCTATCTAAATCTTTTGCCTGCTTCCTTTTTTTGAGATGACATTTATACAACATAAAGTTAATCATTTTAAAGTAAACAGTTCAGTGGCATTTATTCCACTGATAGTGTTGTACAGCTACCACCTCTATTTAGTTCCAAAACTTTCTATCATTCCAAAAAGAAACCCCTATTTCTTGCTTTTCAGTTTAACAAAATATTTCATAAGTACTTTGGTATGTTTTCAAAGGCTCTTTAAAAACATAAATATAGCAATAAGACTCAAATTATACCAACAAATGTATTCTGTTTTGCTTAACTAATGGATTTTTAAGTTGTATTTTTATTGCGATGAACATTTTTCTGTAACCCTTATTTGTTAGATTGTGCTTTACTGGGAATTTGACATTTAACAAAATCTCACTGCCCTAGTGCATTTTACTTGATAGTCTGTATAAACAAGAATTAAAGGCGAAACCAGAAAAAATGGACAAAGGATAGAAAATAAGGGTGTAAAGTTTATCTTTGGTTGATGGCATTGTTACCATGTAGAAATTAATAAATTACGGAAGTATTCTGAGATTGTTGAGTGTAAAAGTGTTAGATATGCAGAAGCGTGAAACAGATTTTGTGAACATAATTGGTGGGCTGATGCTTGTCAAATGGTATTTTTACTGGAAAGCAGAAATGAAATTCAGTTGATGTGAAATTCTTTAAGATGTTTCTTTTTCTTTTTTTTTTTTTTTTTATCAATATGAGGAGTTGAATAGTAATTTGACATTTTTCACATATAAGGATACTGTTACTGAGCTTTATTTTCTCAGAATATAAGGATTTGGGCTTCTCTGTATTTGCTCACCCATTCCTTCTTTTCCTAGAATAGTTTATTGAGACAGACATCAGAATCATTTAAGCATTTTGTTGCTGTAGTTTCTGTATACTGTTAGGCAAATAATTTTATTTGCTTATTTATTTTATTTTACTTTTATTTATTTTACTAGGTGGATGTTTCCTGTAGAGATAATTTACAAATAAAAAAAAAATAGCGGACTTGTAGAGTCTGTTTAAAAGCTTGGTCAGGCTAAACTCTGAAGCCGATCTCTGTAATTATTAGCACTGGAAAAAGTCAACTTTATCCACCTGGGTTTTTCTTTATCAGTAAAATGTTAGAAGAACTTCATTCCAGAAGGGCTACAGTCCTAAATGTAGAATATTTTTAAGTTAAAAAGTTCTAGTTTAACTTTTTATTTAAATGTTAAATTGAATCGCTTTCTCTTCTTACTGAAGTAAACATATCTATTCTCTTTCCTCAAGTAAAACCTTATATGTGTGAAATATGAGTAAACTCAGTTTTTGTTTTTTATTTTTAATCACTTAGACACATAGTGGGTCTGTGTGGCGTGTGACATGGGCACATCCTGAATTTGGACAGGTTTTGGCTTCCTGTTCTTTTGACCGAACAGCTGCCGTATGGGAAGAAATAGTAGGAGAATCGAATGATAAACTGCGAGGACAGAGTCATTGGGTGAGATATTCGTTCATTTTCATTCATTTTTTGGGGAAAAGGGTTGGGTGGGGCACGATCATCCAAGGAGCATTAGTTTTCTCAAGAACACTTCAGGCACTTGATAAGGTGTTACCACTTCCCTCTATGTTCGTCAATTCCATCTTTGTTTCTAACATGTTTTTCTCCTACTTCTTTATTTGATTTTGTGTTGGGCCTGAAATGGTACTCAGGAATACCCATGGCATTGTTTAATTGTAACTTTCATGATGAATCTAGAGTATTCGCTTTGTCAAATACTTAGTATACTCTAAAATTCTAAAAATCTTTTTTTCTCTTTTGTGATTACCTTTTCTTTTTTTTTTTTCTTTTTTTTTTTTACAAAATATACTCTTCTTTATCTGCTTCTGCTTTAACTCTAGCTCTTCCCTGATTGGGTGTTTGAATTTTAGGCAAGAGTATAATGTGTTTGCTGCTCAGGTTCCTTGTCTATAAAGTGAGAGAATTGAACTAGGCTACCTTTAAGACCCATCCCTATGTTTTCTTTTTTTTCCTCTTTATTTTTCACAATAGATATTCAGCCACAGGTATAAAATTTAAAAGATACAGAAAACTGTATGCAGTGAGAACTTCTTCTTCTGTGGTCACATAGTTCTCTCCCAGAGGCAATCACTGTTACAGGGTTTTTGTTTTTGTTTTTGTTTTTGTTTTTGTTTTTGTATATCCTTCTGGAGATATTCCATGTCTTTATAAGGACATAAATACAGTGTTTTCCTCTCTATTCCTACCAGTCCTTCCTACTTTCCCTCACATAATTCCAGTATGCTGACAATACCTTTTTTTTCCTGCTGCATTTTAAAATTATGATAAAATATACCTAACATAATACTTATAATTTTAAATGTTTGTAATTGTATAATTTAGTGCTAATAATTACATTCACAATGCTGTGTACATAATACTATGTGATATCCATACCACAATTTTCATCATTTCCAACATAAACTCTCTACCATTAAATTGTATCTCCTCCAGCCCCTGGTAATCTATTTTCTGTCTCTGGATTTGACTGCTCTAGGTACTTCATATAAGTGGAATCATACAATATTTGTCTTGTTTCACTAAGCAAAATATTTTCAAGGTTCATCTGTGTTGTAGCATATATTAACCTCATTCCTTTTATGACTGAATAATATTCTGTTGTGTGTATATGTCATATTTTGTTTATCCTTTTATCTGTGGATGGAATGCTGGGTTGTTTTCACCTTTTTAGCTATTGTAAATAATGCTGCTATGAGCATTGGCATATAGACACCTATTTGAGACCTTGCATTTAATTCTTTTGGATATATACCTAGGGGTGGAATTGCTGGGTCATATGGTAGTTCTATGTTTAACTTTTCGAAGAACTACTAAACTGTTTACCACAGTGGCTGCACCATTTTACATTCCCACCAGTAATGGACAAGGGTTCCAATTACTCCATATCTTTGCCAGTGCTTCTTACTTTTTGTTTTTTGAGTCTTAGTGAGTGTGAAGTGGTGTCTTATGGTTTTGAATTGCAGTTTCCCTAATAGTTGAACATCTTTTTATGAGCTAATTGGTCATTTGTATATCTTGTGATATTGTGATTTATAATTACGTTCATGGTTCCTGACTCATAGCTCCCAAAACCTTTGGAATTGCTGAGTGTCGAGAGTGATAAAGATGTATTTTGTTATGTTACTGTGTGACTTTTCTAAAGCACCTAAGGATGAGCTCTGGTTGCCAGTGGAGCCAACCATGCAATTAGAGGGTTGGAATTTTCAGTAATCTCCTGGAAGAGGGGAGGGGCCAATGAGTTAATCAGATGTTCCTAGGTAAAGGGGCCAATGAATTAATCATACCTATGAAAGGAGGCCTTCATATAACCCCAAAAAGACAGGGTTTGGAGAGCTGGGTGGCAAACACGTGGAGATTTGGGGAGAGTGACATGCCTAGAAAGGGCATGGATGCTCCTTGACCTTTCCCTGTATCTTCCATCTCGTCCATCTGGCTGGTCCTGAGTTATATTCTTTCATAATAATATATCAGTGATCTAGTAAGTAAAATGTTTTAGGGTTCTGTGAGCAGCTCTAGCAAATTGAACCTAAGGAGGAGCTCTTGAACCTCTGATTTATAGCCAGTCAGTTAGCAGCACAGGTAACCACCTGGGATTGTCACTGGTATCTGAAGTGATGGGTGGGTGGGAGCAGCTTTGTAGGACTGAGCCCCTTGACCTGAATTTAGTTGAATTCATCTCAGACTTGTTGGTGTCTGAGAATTGTTTGTTGGTGTAGGGGTACGCCCCCCCGCCCCCCGCCATTGGAATTGTTACTTCTATAGGGAAATATCTATTCAAGTCCTTTGCTCATTTTTTAATTGGGGCATTTATTTTTTGTTGTTGAGTTTTAGTTCTTTATATATTGTGGATGTTAATCCCTTATCAGATATATAATTTGTAATATCTTCTCCCATTCTGTGAGTTGTCTTTTCACTCTCTTGATAGTATCCTTTGATGCACAGGTTTTGAATTTTCATGAAGTCTGTTTTTTTTCCTTTTTTTTTTTATGTTTTTGGTGTCATATTCAAGAAATCATTGCCAAGTTCAATGTCATGAAGACTTTTTCTCAAAGTTTTAAGAGCATTATATTTTTAGCTTCTCCTTTATTGAGGTCTTTGATTCATGTTGTGGTAATTTTTGTGTATGGTCTGAGGTAAAGGTCCAATCATTCTTTTGCATTTGATATCCAGTGTTTCCAGTACCTTTTATCAAAAAGACTGTCCTTTTCCCATTGAATGGTCTTGGACCTCGATTGAAAATCAGTTGACCATATATGCAGCGTTTGTTTCTGGACTCTATTCTATTCTGTTGTTTAATATGTTTCTCCTTATGACAATACCATGCTGTTTTAATTACTGTAGGTTTGTAGTTTGCATGCTAGTCATATTGTTTTATAATTCTTTTTTAATGATAGAAGGGATTGCTCTCATTGCCTATGTACTAGGGCCTCTCTAAGACAAATCAACTGCTTAAGAGGAAAGAAGGGAAATTTATAGAAGTCATTTTTCTAGCAGTCAGTCTGAGGTGGATCAGTTAGGTTTAGGAGTGGTGGCATATAAAGGATTTTTATTTGAACTTAAAAGATATATTTATTTATATCTCATTAAATTAACTGCCATTAATACATTTAATGGTTCAGCATTTGTGTTGGTATTAATTATTCAGTGGTGTTTGTAGACAAAAATTTGCAAAGATTCTACCTTTGAAGTTTATGTAATATTCTTTTAATATTGAGAGTCCTTAAGATATATTTTGGTAACCATAGATAGACAGTAGGCTATTGGTTTCCAAATTTTATTGATGTTTTCAATTAAAAATCATCTAGGTACCAGAAAATAACTTATAAATGCTATCATGGAATTCTGTAATTATCACCAAGCCAGCTTTGTACCATTCTCTTGGCCTCTAGTAAATGCTTTCTCTTAAAAGTACATAGTGGTGGTCCAAGTTATGGTAATATACCTAGTAAATGGCAGAGGAGTTCTGTGTGATTTTAGGGCCCATCCTTTT